TGCGTGGCCAGAGCAGTGCCTGCGGCAGAGCAGACCCAGCTCCCATGTGCGCTCTCCGCCTGCAGAGCAGGGTGTGAGCATGACCCCTTTCCCTCTGCAAGCACAGAGCCCAGCTACTACCCCTGCTGAGTAGTGGGGGATAACCCCCCACTTTTGGCATCGCCTTGGCCCCCACTGTCCCAGCTCCAGGGCTGATCTCGGGCCATGTCCCCAGGCCACGGGGAAGGGTTTCTCTGCTGACACTGGGCACAGAGACCCTCCGGCACTCAGGGCACCAACAGCCTCTGTTGGCTGGTGCCGATAGCATCAGTCCGGTGACAGGGACTGGTTTGTGTGGATCATCCACCGGGATGCACATCTCCATGGGAAGCAGGAGACAAACCACGTGCAGGGAGCAGCAGAGGCGCTGGAGGAGTTTCAGCAGACCGCTGCTACTTCTGGCACTGCTGACAACAGCTCCACGCGTGGGTTTTATGCCTCTGACAGAGGGAGGTGCTTGGCCAAAGCCCAGGGTGTTTCAGGTGCTGCAGCAATGAAGACACATGAAATGCCCTAGCTGGGCTGTTACAGGACAGCTGTGCTGCAGCACACAGGGACCATACGGCTGCACGAGTGCTGCCACACATGCGTGTCTGCTGTGGGGCTTGAGCTGTGCATGCTGCTGTTGCACAGCTGCCCCCCGCCCCGTGACAACATTTACCAGGGTTTCCCATAAGCTCACTGCTGCCGCGTGTCCATCACCTGGCCTGCAGCCTCTCTTGCCTGCAGGACTAACCCTGCTGGCAGCCTGTGCTCGGAGCCAGGGACCAGCACGTCCAGTGCTTCCGCAGTGAGCCCTCGGCTCAGCTCCAGGCAGCTGGTGCCAGGGGTCTGAGGGGCTGTGTGGGGTGAGATGTGCAACCCCGGGGCCTCCCTCCTGCAGGGCCAGGGAGAGACCACCCTGCCAGACCTAACCAGGACGGGCAGGTTGCTGGGTCAGCTGGCTGCTGACCTTCCCTCCCTCCCTGGGCACAGACCATCATCTCCCCCCTGGAAAACGCCATCGAGACCATGATGAAAACAAATGAGAAAATTATGAGCGAGATCAACCGGCACCAGAATGACCCCAGCCTGCCTGTCAACCCACTCTCCATGCTGCTCAACGGCATCGTAGACCCTGCTGTCATGGGTGGCTTCGCCAAGTACGAGACGGTGAGGACACGTGAGTGCTGTGCCTGGTCTGGCACAGGCACTCTCAGGGCTGATGACTGCAGGCACTCGCACTGCTTTGCTCCAGCCCCTGCCGGGGGGGGGGGGGGGGGGGGGCAATGGACAGCAGGACTGAGAGGGGGGGTCGTTGCAGGCCTTTTTCCAGGAGTCCTACCTGCAGGAGCATCCTGAGGACGAGGGGAACATCGAGAAGCTGAAGGACCTCATCGCCTGGCAGGTACAGCCTGCAGCATCCCTCCAGTGGCTGGAGGGGACAGCTGCCCTGTTGTCCCAAGCGCCCAGCATCCCTGTCCCTGGGGAGCCCCACAAGCCCAGGCAGACCCATCCCTGTTCTCCCACAGATCCCACTGCTGGCAGAGGGGATCCGGATCCACGGACGGAAGGTGACGGAGGACCTGCGGCCCTTCCATGAGCGCATGGAGCAGTGCTTCGTGCAGCTGCGGGCAAAGGTGGAAAGCCAGTATGGGGTGCGGGAGATGGTGAGTGCCAGGGTGGTGAGCATGGTGTAGGCACAGCTGGGGCTGGGACCCATGGGATGACACTGGACAAGCTAGTGCAGGTCTGAGGCGGCAGGGAACAGCTTGACAGGGCCACAGCTGCCACAGCAACAGGGTGAGGAGCACTGTGCATGGGGGACCTTGGGGTTGATGCCTGCCCTGGGGGCGGGGACAGCACTGCTGTGGGGTGGCTGGTACTGGCACAAAACCAGGACTGGGCAGAGGGCACTGCTGGCCCCGGCTGAGCCAAGGGAAGGAGAGGGGAGGCTCTGCACTTTCATCCCTCCTGGCTCTCCCTCAGGCTCCCTGTGCTCTCAGGTCTGCTTCGAGGAGCGGCGGAGTGGACGACCTCGGTCCATGGCCTGGGGATCCGACTGGGAGCGGCTGAGCCATGCTGGAGACAGGCAAGTGCTGTGGTGGAGAGCACTGGCCCCAAGCCATCCCCCTCTCATTGCCCTCACCCCTTCTTGCTGGCCTTGCACCACTGAGCCGTCCTCACTCTCCTCCACCCCAGACACTTCTCTCCCACCTCCCCAGCCCACTGCCCCCCCTAGCTTCCCTTTATGCAAAGTCATATCTCAGGGGTCCATCCTGCCATGCCACCACGGTGGCCCTGTCCCTGTGGGGGGGCATGGAGCAGAGACACCCCATGTGCAGCTCCCAGGCTCACCTGGACACTGCTGTCACCTGAGCCATCCATGCATGTCTTGCTGGCTTGTCCCCCCCTAAGCACCCACTGCTGAGCTCTGCTGGAGATGGTGCCTCGCTGAGGGAGGCCACTCCTGGCCATGGTCCAGCCAGCCCATGGTGTAGCCCTGCTCCCCATTCCCCCTGCTGCCCGCCTGCCCCTCACCAGCCACAGTTGCTCCACAGCACGGAGGCACCCCCGACCCCAAAGCCTGCCCCTCGCACCACTGAGAGCGAGGACCGCAGGAACGAGCGCAAGGAAAACCGCTCCAGCACCTTCTTTGGGTACCGGCGACAGGACCTGCGTCAGTCCATCTCGGAGCTGCCAGAGCCCAAGGTGATGCTTAGCACAGCCCTGGTACCTCCCCTCCTCCCCAGGGCCCCACTCGTGCTCCCCTGTGTGTCCTGCTGCACCCAGAGCCCCTGGCCCAGCCGGCAGCACCAGGTCCCGGCCCAGACAGGACCCCTTGAGGGGCTAGTGGCAGCCCTTGCTGCAGGGCTGATGGCAGGGAGGGCAGGAGTAGAGTCTGGTGCGGCACAAGGCTGGAGACCCAGGGCTGTGGGCAGGGTGCTGGGGAGCATCGCACCCCACCAGGGGCTCCTGCATTCCTGGGGCTGTGGGTCCTGCGATGCAGCCTGGCCTCCCGAGGTGCTGAGTCTCTCCTCTGCACCCCAGGACGAGAAGCGGAGGCTCTCCTGCAACATGAGTGAGAGCAGCCTGGGCAGCTCCAATGGGAAATGGCCCCCGCCAAGCCGAGACGCTGCTGGTGCTCAGCCCAGCACTGCAGGTACTCCCCACCACGGCTGGCGGCTTGGGGCACCTTCCCAGCCCCACTCCCCACCCCTGGCATGGCTGGAGTGGGGCACCTTCCCTGCAAGCCCAAGCAGCATCCAGCCCTTGTCTCCACAAGAAGGGCTGTGCCCCCACCCCAGCAGTGCAGGTACCTCCACCCCCAGCTCTGCACCCCAGCACAGGCACCCTCACCCCCTTGCCCCATCCCCACAATGGTGCAGGCACATCCTGCAATGGGAACCAGGCAGGGAGTACTCGGTACCAAAAGCACAGGCAGATGCCACATGGCTCACATGTCCCCCACCAAACACTCCCCACAGAGCTGCCGGTCTTCGATCCTGGACCTCGTGCTGCTAGGTCTCAGTACTGAGAGCAGGTCCCACCAGGAACCAGCCTCCCCCTCCCCGCTGGGCTCGTGCCCCATGCCACCCCCAGCCCCTCTGCCCAGGGCCATCATGCTCCCACAGGCCGGAGACCTGGCCTGGGCCCACCGATGGGCCCCATAGGCCCCCCCAGGCTGGATGATCTGCCCAGCCTACCTCCCTTGCCTGCACAGGGCCGTCCCTGTCTCCCACTGGCTTCGGCGGCCGTGTGAAGAGTGCCAGCAAGGTCCCACCGCTGCCCCGCAAGATCAGCCCCACGGTGTACGAGACGTTCCTGGAGCACAGCGATGCTGCAACCGGAGGGAAGGTACTGCCTGGCCCAGGCCCCCGGCCCCCACTACCCCCCCGCCCCCACGGTAACCACCATCTCTGCTTGCAGGCATCCACGCTGCCAACAGCAGATGGAAATAAAGGGCTGAAGTCGCCGCCGCCTCCGCCGCCAAAGTCCAAGCGAGTGTCACAGCTCTGACCGGTGCCCACCTGCAGCCACCCCTGCCCATGGGACAGAAAAGCCCATGGTGCCCCTGCTCCCAGCTGGTTGCTAGACAAACGGCCCTGCTTGATCCTCGCCTGCTGGACCACCCCTAGCCCACCTCTCTCACAGTATTTACACCAGAAGCTTCCTGCTGAGGTGAAGCAGTTACACACCAGCCTGTGCCAGGACATCTCTCCCACGCAGAGCTCTGCTGAGCTCCCACCCCCGCAGCCCCTCCAGCGGTGCGACCAAACCGTGCCGAAGAAGACTTTCCTCCCTCCACCCTGAACTGCCCGCGGAACACGCCACACGCAGGGCAACAAGCAAACTCTCCGCCATCATGTGCTGAGCTCTTCCCTCCAGCTCTCCATGCCAGAGGCAGCTCCTGTCCCTCGGCTGCCCACCCCATCCTGCAGCACTGGGACAAACACTTCTGGCTCAGGCACTGTGACTGCAGAGGAGTGGGCCTGGGCAGCACCGTGCTTTGCAGTACCAGTTCTCCTGCCAGTATCTGGCTTTGCAGCCCTGCCTGCGCCAGGCTGATGCTGCTGCCTCGGTCAGCCACGCTGGGCTCCAGCCCCTGCCTCCCTGCTGCAGCAGGCCATGGCCACAGCCAACTAATAAAGGGCTAACGCATCAGCTGGGCACCCTGAACTGGGGCTGAAAACCCTGTATGAGCCCCAGTGCTCAACCCTGCTCATGCACAGCCAAACCAGGGGCCCTTCCACAGCCAGGCACCACCCCAGCACCCCAAAAAGCAGGGACGACTCACCCTCCTGCAGCCTGGAGCCCCGCAGCAGGGAAAGCCCATAGGAACCCAATGCCGCTGGGGAGCATGCTTGCTCTCCCCTGGCCGGGCTGTGCTGGGTCTGGTGCGGTGACTGCCAGCACACGGCTCTGCCTCCCGAGCTGGCACAGGGCTGTTTATTTGCACATGGTGTTGCAGGCTCAGGAGTCATATTTACAGTCTTGTGTTAAAGAGGAGGAACCTGGACCCATAACCAAGGGACAGGGAGGGCAGGGGCTGCCTGCAGGTGGGAGCTGCCATCAGTGGGTTCCTGTCTACGTGGGAGAGTAGGATCAGCTCCTTAGGCTGGGGCTAAAGAAGGGACAAGGGGAGATGGCACCTCGTGCCACAAACACAAAGTCTGGGAGCAGCTGGGCTACACTGGTGCCTAGGCTCCCTCCGCACGCTGAGTGGAAGAGCAGGGCGGTGGAATCATCCATCTCTCGCTGAGCCCAGCTCTTCACAGCGGGTTTGCCGAGGAGGCCGCCAGCCGCTTCCCAATGTAGATCCTGGATTGGAGAGAGCAACTGTAAAGCACCCGCACAGGGACAGCCTGCCGGGCCTCAGCAAGCCAGTAGTGAGGGGAGAGGGCAGCAGCCATGGAGAAAACTGTGGCTACTGGGAGAAGTGGTGCAGAACAGCACCAAGGATGACCCCTCCAAATCCAGGAGTGTTCCCCCCAGCTTGCCATGGGGCCAGCCACCTGGGTCAGGGCAGCCAGAGGCCCCCTGGACAGCCCCTGACTGCACAGACACCCAGCAGTGCAGGGCTCACCCTGCCTGCACCCAAGGGGTCTGTTCTGGCCAAGGGTACTCAAAAGCACAGGTCAGGCCCATCGTAAACTCACCCCAGTCCCAGGGTCAGCACGTGGCTGAGCAGCAGTGAGGGGATGAAGAGCAGCAGCAGCTCTGAACTGAAAAGTCTCTTCTTTCTCCCCACAGCACCTCCCTGCAGGCTCCACAGCACCGGCTGCGGGGAGCACACAAAGGCAAACTCCCTGGGAAAAGGGCACGGTTAAAGGGGCACGAGGGCAGAGCACAGCAGTAGGGCATAGGGACAGCAGGACAGGCTACCAAGGCAGACAGCAAGGGCAGGGGACGAGGGTCTTACTTTGGAGACAGATGTTGAGGGTGGTGGGCACAGGCCCAGCTGAGGGATGCTGGCAGGCGTTGCTCCCTCCGCTCGGCTTCCTCCGCCACATCCCGCTAGAAGGAGAGGTAAGGCAGGTAAGACCAGGGGCATGGCTGACGCAGCCCACAGGGCACAGCACGGCACAGCACGGGGGGCCAGCAACCTTACCTGCCGGGGGTGGGGGCAGCCCGGCTGGGGCTGGCTGCGGGGAGGGAGCAGCTCACTCTCCCCAGGCTGCTCGCTCACCTGGCCGGCTCCATCATCTTCCCGGGCTGGGGAGCCCAGCGCAAGCAGGGCACTGCAAACATAACCCCCCTCAGTCACCAAGCCTGCCCCACCCCCCAGCCCCCCGACACCCACCCTGGCCAGGCAGGACTCCAGGTGCCAGGGCTCCTCCTCGGGACTCACCCGTCACTGCTCTCTGTCTCCAGCTGGGCCTCCAGCAGCATCCGCTCCACGTCGGCGTGGCAGGAGAAGAACCGCGAGGGCGCAGGCTCGGGCTCCAGGCACCCTTGGCCACACCGCAGCTCCACCCAGGAGCCTGGGGGGGCTGTCAGCCCAGCACCCGCCTGGCCCCCGCGCTGCCCCCCCGCTCTGCCCCAGGCCCACCCCATCCCATCTGGGAGCCCTCCCCAGTGCATCCTGCACCACTGCCCAGGCACCACAGGAGCAGCAACTGCAGTCTCTGACCCGGGACGTCCTGCGCACCCCTATCTGCCCAGGGCTGCTCCTCGGCGTGCCCTCCTCCCCCGGGACCCCCCGTCTGCCTCTGCCCCAGCCGCCGTGGTGCATGTCAGCCGGCCTGTCCAAGACCCCCGTTGATCCACACCCACCCAGTGCACACCGGCCCACCCAGGACGCCTGCTCTGGCTCCCCACTGACTTGCCCCCTCTCCCCGGTGCACATCTGCCCTCCCCTCCCGGGACCCCTGTTGACCTAGACCTCCTCACCTGCATGTCAG